GTACCAATTAGGAGCCCAAACTGCCATGAAAAACAGTGAGTTTATGGTTTAGCAATTAATTTTTGAGTATTCTAACCTTTGTCTGTTTCTGGAAGCTTTAATTTATTAAAAACCGATTCCTTACAATCTTCAGACTGCTACTGAGGATTTTAGTGAGTTATAATGGCACAAAAGCAGATTTGGGATAAAACCAAGAAAACTTCTGTTTCTTGAAGAGTATAAAAAGAGTGTATGTCTTAAACATAATGTGATGTGCTTTGCAGAAATCCTGCATATATTGTTTTCCTTCACATTAGAGTGCAGAGCCGGGGTGGAGAGCTATCTGTTACCTTCACCTACTGTATTTGTTCTACCAATTTGAATTGGTAATAATTTATTTAAATAAAGCATTTTAAAATAATTAAAATACCCAAGAGATTAAATAACTTTCCCATGACCTTTGGGCTCCTCTTCGCATTTTCAAGAAGATGTATTTTATTAAAATCTGCCAGTGTAAATTTTAGGAGGATTTACACCTTGGGATTTTCCCCATCTGTTTTTTAAAGTGCATCAACAGCCAACACCAGGAAAACAGCTTTACAAATTATTACCTCCAGACTCTGAGAAACTTGTCTGGGAAACTCACACATCCTGTACGGACATCACTGTGCTCACTGCACCATTCCAGGATGTAATTTAAATTCTCTACATTTTTGTAGGCTACAGTTTTCAAATACATTGTTTTGCCACCTGCATAACCCTGTAAAAAACCCTGGGTTTTTGAAACAAGAAACCCGAATGTAGCCTGGATTAGGAGTGAGTACAATAGAAGACCCTTAGCTCCTGCTGCTGTGCCAGTGAGGAGATGTGTGCTATTCCCCTTAACCTGCTGCTACCAACAGGGAGCTGAGAGGGCAAACGCTACCCTTGGATGCCTGTGTTACCAGGCTGCTTGCTCATTTCCTTGATCTTTCTTCATCTTCTTTTGTATTCAGAGAAGAAAGGGTGTCCTGACACGGCATAGCTTGAGAGGAATTCTTTTGATGCTGTGACAAAATATTCTTTCATGCCTAGAAGCTTAACTTGGCTGCCACTAGTTACTATTCTCTGTTTTGAAGGGGTTTGGACTTGTAGTTTGATATCATCAAAACTTCCTTGTCAAGATTTTTGAATAAAAGTTCAGTTTAAAGCCTGTTATCAAATACCTCACTGTCAGGAATCACATGGACACATTGCTGAGCCCCTTGGCACATATGGAAGATCCAAGCTTGTTAGGACACCAAAGTTTGTCAAGCAAAGTAACCAAGTCAGTCACTGCGCATCCAACATTTATTGTACACTGGTAATCTGGGGTTTCTAAGACTGAAAGGACAAAGAAAAGAAATCCAAAATATCTTGTGTAATCAAAGAATTATAGAATTATAAAATGCATTGGGTTGAAAGGGACCTTTAAAGGTCTTTAAAGTCCACCTGCCCTGCAGTAAGCAAGAACTTCTTTAACTAGATCAGATTGTTCAGACCCCCATCAAGGTTGACCTTGAATGTCTCCAGGGATGGATCCTCGACTGTCTCACTGGGCAACCTGCTCCAGACTTTCACCACCCTCGTGGTAAAAAACTTCTTCCAAATGTCTAATCTAAATCTACCCTGCCCCTCGCCCTGTCACTACATACTTTAACAGTCTCTTCTCAGCTTTCTTGTAGGCCCCCTTCAGGTGCTGTAAGGCTGCTATAAGGCCTTCCTGGAGTTTTCTTTTCTCCAGGCTGAACAACCCCAACTCTCCCAGCCTGGCTTCATAGGACAGAGGAGGATAAGGCATTCCTCTAGAACATGAGTCAGGTCAAACAGAGGGTTCTTAACTCTCCCTATTGACTGTGCAGAGACTTCAGAGCAAATAAGGTCCTAACTCAGGAACCCTGCTCTTTGTTCAAGGTCAGGTGAGATGAATCTATACCTGCCTGTGAGTGTTTTGCTATTAACTCAAACAGCAGAAGCCAAGATGTAGCAATATGTAAAATTTTTGTGTCTCTGCTTTCTGTACACAGAAATCTAAATTAAGCACTAACTAGTTTATTTACTAATATAATTATTTACTCTGTGTGAGTATTTGTAGACTAGTGAGTGTTGGGTATGTATAATTCCACATACACAGGAAGAGAGGTTAGACTGAAGAGGAGACTCATAGCAGTGCACCTGTACCTTTACAGTCCTTTATGTATTAGATCCAAGTTTTGTACTTTGTTAAAGAGTGATCAGTCTCTGGAGGGTAACGTAAAATATGTAATGCAAGCCTGAAAACTGCGCCCTTTAGAGAGTTGTAGTGACTGATACAAATCTATTTCTGAGATGATTTAGCAAAAATCTGGGCACTTCTGTGTCTGCATAAGGGTTTGTTTGTATGTGGCCTATGTATACCATAGACCTGTTTTTGAAGTGTGGTTGTGGAAGGGGAAGATACTTCCAGGACTCCTGTCTGGATTCATCTCATATACTGACATATCTTATTTGATACTCCACCAGAGATATCTGAGTTAGGGATTCCTTGGTCATCTCGGACTCCCTCTCAATCCAGTGCTTCATTTTGTTTTATTTTAGCTTAGTAGTTATTTTGCAATAGTACCTATGAGCCAGGTAAGTGATGGTCTCAATGCAAAATCAGTGTAGTAGTTCAGCTACAGAACAATTGTGCCTTTACTCTAATACCTGTGGCAATTTCTTATTGGGAAAAGATGAGGGTTCCTCTAAGACGTCAATGAAATACTTTATGCCAGGAAAATGCTGCTTTTATTTCTTTTCTTCCTCTTCAGAAACCTATTCAGACCCAGCCTAAAAAAATTAAACATCATACAGTAGGAATGGATCAGTGAAATGAGATGTGGACTGATGTTGCTATAAGCAGTTTAGTACAGGTGCTAGGCACAAGGGGGGTTTTTATGGGGCATGACACTGTGGTATTTTTTTCAAGAGACAGAGAGATGATTGCTCTGTATAATCTAGTTTTTCAATAGTCTTGAGAAAAACAGTGCTGCAGGGTTGCTTTTCTTTGCTGCTTCTATCCACATATAGCAAACTGTTTGAATTCCTTGTAGCTGATATTTAAGGAGGCTGCATGCAGTCAGGATGGTCACTGGTTGGAGCATAAGGAGCATACTAGAGTTCTTTTTTCCCACTTTACACCAGGAAACTGCAACAAAGAAATTATTTCATTTTGGTAAATCATGGTCCAAAGGCCACAACCCATGTTTGAGTTCAGCCACAGGCTTAGACTTCCAGACGTCAAATCGGGTTGACAGGGGGATTCATCTCACCTCGTTTCAGATATCTGAAGTTAAAGGTCTCGCTTATGCTACTCACCTAGGCTTCCTCTGTGGCCAAGAAAATAGAGACACTTGTGGTAGGATGTTCGTGCCTGGAGATATGATATAAAATACTCACTGATTTCTGCCTCTCCTCAGAGTTTAGAAAAACATGTTAGCTATTGCAACTCTTCATTAGATGACAAGGTGATCTGAGTCCCACCAGAAACTGTGCCTCAGTTACCCATTCGCACAACAGGATGAATATTTGTTTGCCTCTCAAGGATACTCTGTAATTTAAGAGAACTTTGAGACAAAGACTCCATAATTCTTAGATTGAAATCTAGGGTAATGATCTTTTGTTATGAAAAGCCAATTCCAAATTAGGAAGAAATCTTCCAGTATGGTTATGAATTATCTGTGAGTCTCTAAACCTGTATCACAGGTCTTTTTCGTTCAAGTTTCATGTCGAGTAGCCTTTTAATTTTTACTTTATGTAAAGGTTTTGTATTGCCTAATATGCAATGCTGAAATTACTACTGACTTCTAAAAGATTCTTTTCACTAGTACTTACTGGTAAAACATGAGTTAAAAGCTGAAAGCTGTTTTTTAATAACGCAGTAGCTTTCAAGACACGTTCTGTGCCCAGTAAAAGTAGAGACCAAGAAGTCTGTCAGATTCTTAATCCAATCAAGCATTTTTTCTTTTAAGTTTTCCAGCCTTACATATGCACACACATGCATATGCTTCCATCTATAATTTTCTAGCTGTATAGCTATATAAAAGGTTGTGAATATATATACACTTCATTAATGTTAAATTTGTAAATTTATGTAAACATTTATAATAAGAGAGCTATCAGACTGGGGATCTATTAGACCACGAGCTGTTCAAAATGTACAGTAAGTAATATGGGTGATTGACTGCCATAGCAATTATATCACAGTAGGAAAAATTTATGTAGGTAAGTTCATCTTAATGTAGTATTTTCCTGTTTTGCAGATGATATTACTCCTTATTTTACTTACTTCCTACATATTACACTTCTGCAGTAGGCATCAAACATACCCCCCAAAAAATTGTAACTGAAAAATTACCCAGCTTTTCCCCAATTGATATCTGAGCATGAGGACATAAATCATAAATCACAAAGTTGCATCCATTAAATGTACTGGCTTAGATTACATCCTGGCAAAGTCTGGAGTGTAAGAGCCAAAGCTTGCTGTGGAGCCCACGCTCTACCCTGTTTGGCCTCTCATTATTTGCTTCAGGTCCTGAGGAATACATACCTGGGGATTATCAGCAAAGGTGCCTCCCCAGCCCCCCTGGCAGTACTGTTTGTGTTCATTTTTCAAGGCTTAAACTGAGTTCATTAAGATTGATGGGAGCTCCATAATCCTGTAGCTCTTAAGTAATAAAGAATTCCTTGTGCTGGGATATGAAAAATCTCAAGAGTGCTCGTCCCTCCACTGAGCCATATCTTAAATGTCCGTTTTCTATGGTTGACTTCACATAACAAGAACTTAAAAGGTACCTTGGATGAAGACTGTTGAAATGAGTTAGTGGAATTAAGTAGCAACTCAGTAAATGTAACAAAACTTTAAAAGGTACACAAGCAAACTTTATATCAGTCATTGGATGCTCTGGAGTGCTCTAAATGTTCCTCTGTTACAAAGTAGTTAGTATGTTATGACTAATGTGCTCTGTTGGAAATTGCAGGTTTATGCAACTCAGCCGACAGCTGGATGATTGTTCCCAATATCAAACAAAACCACTACACAGTGCACGGGTTACAGAGTGGCACTAAGTACATCTTCATTGTTAAGGCCATTAATCAGGCGGGCAGCAGGAGCAGTGAGCCCGGCAAGCTCAAGACAAACAGTGAGTAACGTGAGAACCAGCACACATTCTTCTCCTTCCTTTTTAGGTTTGTTCTTTGGACGATACAAGAGTGCAGAGCAGTATAACTTATTTAGAGTGTTTCCCACAATGAAAGCCACTTATTTAACTCAATTCAAGATTGCCAGTCTTCAGCAGTGCAGAAATTTTTTTTTTTTTTTTGAGAGATGCATCTGTAGTTTGGTCACTGGAAACATCATTTAGGAACAGAGTCATCACATGTGAAATGATTGAAAATACTCTTTTGTGGTTTCATTTTAATGTCCTCTCTATTCTTTTTCCTCTACAAAGCAAAAACTTTTCTTATGTTTGCAATAAAACATTTTATTTTTGTATAGTGTTCATAGGATAATTTGTAGTTTAATTTTAACCTCCAAAACAATCTCTTTCTTACAATGCTGGAAAACTCCTTAGCTCCATCCCCCTCAGTTTTTTATGGAGTTCAATAAGGTGGTAGAGTAGTCAGAGATCCCACTTCAAAAAAACAATGGTTACACAAATTATTAGCAGATGTAGTATAGCATTTCTAAGACTGCTTTTCAGCCTTTTCTTCTTGTGTCCCAGCCAATGCCTCAGTCTTGTAGTTATCACGAGCATCTCTGAGTGCTGGAAAGGGAACACTGGGATTTGTGCATTCTCTGAAACCTGCTTATTGTAGGGGAGGGTGCTCGAAGACACTGAATGTTGCAAGAGGGGGGCTGCAGGCAATGGCATGTACACGTTTCTCATTTTCCCCTTTTTGAAATGAACCTGGCTTGCATTTCTGTGTAAAAGCTGCTCATACAAACCCAACGTCTGCTACCAAGAATCTGCTTATTGTTAAACTTGGTAACCTACAAGCAAATGCATAACCAGAGGACCCATTTGGAAATTACAATCTTTCATTCTTTTGTCTCTTTGTGACCCAGTATGGCTCAAAAGCAATCTCTCAGGTGACTGTGAGAAATTATGTGACCAGATACGCTTCAGTACGGAGGAAGACATCCTTCAGATACTGCTTCAGAAACACAAAGGCTAATAACCAGTTAGAGAGGCAGGCCACAGGTGTTTTACTGCTACCAGGCAGTAAGAAAAAGTAGATAATATGTACCCCAAGTACTTTCCAATTGGTTCATTTTATACTTGTTAATAATATACAACTAAATACACATTATGAAATAGATGATAACTCTAAAGCTAAAAGTACTCCTTATCTAATTCCTGACCCATCTCTAATAATGTTAATTGAGAATTAGTATTGCCTCAATCATCTGCCATTTTAAACATCTGCATTTTCAGATTGCCTAGAGATCTAAGCCAACACATATTGACTGTCACTGTTCAGATGAACTTAATTTCTTCTTATTCTCACATATTAATGCTTTCTGGTTAACTGCATGAGAAATGCTTAACTGTTCCTTCATAAACTCTGAATAATTTACATCTTATTTGAAGTACACATGTCAGTGCCTGAGACAGACCTCGTAAGAGCACTGATTTCTGTTTCTGTGCATGTCATCAAATCTTCTGTTTACATTTTATTTTTCCCTTGATATGAAAGACAGTCAGAAGGGAAAAGGGCTTTGCTGGACCACTCATGAAGTCATAGTTTCCAAGTTGTCTCCTGGTGGAGGCAAATGATCATTCTGCTTTTTGACACAATGAGCAAGCCTGTCAAAACTGTGGCAGGCTTTATATATCTACAGGGTTCAGTTTACCAAAAAGCTTCCTGTTATTGTCTACAAACCTTGTGCTACAGCTGAAGATGCTTGCCAAAAGCAACAGCCTCAGTAATGTTTTTACACCATATTATTTGGACCAAGTTACAGTTCACTTCCTTCTTTCTAATGCACAGTATCCAGCACCACATAGGCATCCTTCCAAAGTGATCCTGAATTGTTGACTCTGTTTGTTATAAATAAAGCTATAAGTGAATGAACAGACAAGGCTAGTGCCTTCTCTTATCTTCAAACTCATTTTGCGGGATTTAAAATCATACTTTTTGTAGTAACGATGAAGATGTTATTATGGAGCTTTATCCCTAGAGAATTGACAGAATGCAACTCACTCTAAATCTAATATGCTGTGAAAAAAGCAACCCTTTATTACCATGTATATTGGTTTCAATTACATGCAAGAATTAGAGTATTCAGGGTTACTTCTAGGTCAGAGATAATGGGCGTGATGATTATGCAGGGCTCTTTTCAGGGATTATTGACACGAGGAAGTTAGTGCACAATGAGATTGACAGTAAACTGACAATGCAAACTAGCTATTGCAAGGAGCAGAATCGTTAGTGTATCTCAAGAACACTTCAGAGGAAATTAATATGGCTATGTAATCTTGTGGGCTTCTTCAAGGCTCTCTAATCCACTCTCTTTTCAAAAATCAAAGCCAAGCCATTCTTCTGCCTTTTTTGTCTCTTCCTCTCTAGGTCAGCCATTTAAACTGGACCCCAAGTCTGCTCATAGAAAATTGAAAGTGTCTCATGATAACTTGACAGTGGAACGTGATGAAACATCCTCCAAGAAGAGCCACACACCGGAGCGATTCACAAGCCAAGGGAGCTATGGAGTAGCTGGCAATGTGTTCATTGACAGTGGGCGGCACTACTGGGAAGTGGTTATAAGTGGGAGTACGTGGTACGTAAATAAAAATGTATGTGGAAAGAATCACCAGTTCACACCAAACATTCATGCAGGTCCCAGCACAGTTTCACTGGCAGAGACCAGTGGCAGAGGCAGGGGGAATTGTAAAAGAGCTGCACAAACATATGCTTTCACATTGTTTGTCAGACTGTTTTCCCAGTCTCCAGCACTTTTGGACTCTGGAACTAAGTCTGCCAGACAGAGCATCTTTATATTTAGTGGCCCTCACAGCACTTTCCCTCTGTGATTCAGGATGGGGTTTTTCTGAACCCACATACAATGCATTTTATTATTGTAGTAAATTAAAGAGGTCAGAAAGTTTCACCTTGTTTATACAGCAGAGAGAACATCATAAGTGGGATCATTTCTTATTAAGCAAGAAAGATGCTAACATCTTTCAGTAAGGAAAAAATCCAACAACAGAGTATGGGGACAATTTGATGATCCTGTTTCACAGAGAGAAAAGTCAGATTGACTCCTAGGGACAGGGCAGGAAGCAGTAGTGCTGTAGGTCTGTGGCCCAGAGTATGAAGCAAGGGGCAGGAAATAGAGAAGTGCATTCCTCCACTTCTGAATGATCCCCTGTGTCATAGAGGGGTGGATTTCAGGGGCCCTTTAGTCAGTGGAAGAGATGTCATCCTTTGGGATTCAAAGGCAACAATCATAATGGAAGTTAATGGAGTGGAAAAATCAGTGAGGTCTTCAAGGTATGCCCACTCTCTCAAACAAGAAAAATACTGTTTGCCTGTGCCAACATTAGGGAATGGAAATAGAGCAACTTATGGCACATTAGTCTCTGTTGGTTGAAAGCCCAACAAGTACTGCAGTGTCTCTAGAACGTGAGGAACTTTTTACATTTCTGTTATATATGAGAAATTGGGTATTTACCCTTGGTATCCATTAATGAGAACATTTTTGCAATCCTTTTACCCTGCACATCTTGCCATAAATTATGATTTGCAGAGCAAATGTCTTCACCTACAATTGCTTCACTTGGCCCAAAACCCAGTCTCAAAAATGCTCATTTGAACTTAAAAACCACACCAACATCTGGCAAAACATATTTGGGAATGGCAAAAAGGGGTTTTTTAATGTCTCCTTTGATGTTTACTCTTGCATTCCTTCTTCTGGGCCATATATTAAAGGAGCAAGAAGAGATCAGATTAGCTGACAGATAGCAATGTATTTTAAAATCAATTAATTCCTCTGCATTCATCTGCTTGTAAGTGGAAATTTGATTTAAACTCGTAGTTGCTGACTATTCAGCAATTTTCCTTTTGAATACAATAGACAAGTGCTCCAAAAAAATTACCATAGCAGCCAAACTATAAACAATGTGAGGGACAATAAAGTTTCCCTGACCTCTCAAACCCAAAAGAAAGATGGGGAAAAACATTAATTAAGCCTGTGCAGATATTGCAGTGAAATGTCACTTAATTGGAACTTAACTAGCAGAAGTAAGAGACTGGGGCATTCCAGTGAGTCCTCTGGGCTAACATTTGACTTCACTGAGAGACAAACACGTCAGGAAGCATTTGTTTCCTTGAGTTTTTTGTTTTGCAGGTATGCCATTGGTATTTCTTACAAGTCAGCCCCAAAGCATGAGTGGATTGGGAAGAACTCTGCCTCCTGGGTGCTTTGCCGCTGCAATAACACGTGGGTGGTGCGGCACAACAGCAAAGAAATCCCCATTGAGCCTGCGCCTCACCTCCGGCGGGTCGGGATCTTGCTGGACTATGACAACGGTTCCCTTGCTTTTTATGATGCTTTGAACTCCCTACACCTTTACACTTTTGACATTACATTTGGGCAGCCGGTGTGCCCCACGTTCACTGTGTGGAACAAGTGTTTGACCATTATAACTGGCTTGCCTATCCCTGACCATCTAGACTCTTCTGAGCAGCTCGCATGACTGCTAAAAGTCAAAAGGTAGGACAATGTGTCTTCCCAGGTTGGCCAGGCAGCTGCCCACAGGAGCTTGCCCAGAGCTGGTGGACCACACGACATCCTGGCCAACACTGCCAAATCTGGCCTGAACTGGAAAGGGGAGAATTTCTCCTTACTGTGTACTTTGTATGGAAGGACAAGAAGTGGCTTTAATAATGTCTTTGGACTTTCTTTTGCAGTTGTTTTTGGTTGGTTGGTTTTGTATTTAGTCTCTTACAGGAAGATTTATAAATTATTTATAAAAAAAAAAAAAAGAGAGAGAAAGAAGTAAGGGAAAGCCTGTTTTGGACACCTAGAAAATTACTTATTTGTTTTGCACATTGATGCTCCTATTAATTATAGTTTCATCAGCCCTTTACATAATTTTATTTTACAGTGGATAAAATCAGGAAATTGGAAGGATGAAAACTGCACGGTGGACAAGTCAGTATACTGCAGGTTTTATTCGTGCCAATATTAATCTTCTCATTACCAGTCTTACTGAGTGCAAGATCTCCTAATTTCTACTTTGCACATGGGAGTGTGCAGACCAAAAAGAACAAAAATAAACAAATAAGGAACTGGAGCTAACCAACATGGCAAAAGAAGAAATTTTCATTTACTTCTGTTCAGTGCTCTCTCTGTTCATAAAAATCATGCTGAATATCTCCTAGAAATGTGAGTGGATAAATCATCTGGTGATTTACTTAATTGATAGCAACATTCCATCAGCCCATGCTTCACCTTCATCTTTGGGAAACATTGTGGAGTCACGGAGGATGTGAAAGACTGATACCATCTCTGAAAATCAGCAGCACTGGAGGAGAGCAGCCAATGCAAGGTCTGACTGTAGACTAATTTGATAAAGCATGGCGTCATTAAAGGACTGATTGTAATAGAAGATGTCACGGTTCTGATAGTAGACATGTGAATGCTTATTGCTGATTTTACAAGGTTCAAAATACCAAGCCCAGCCAACAACTCGGAAGTGAGACATGCGCCACTTTGCCATTCATTTTAAATTAAATACAAATGTTTCATTGTCGTACGCTATGCAGTCTCTATAACAAAGCAAGGAAATCTGTTTTACATGTGCTGTATGGAGAAACACTACAGCTGGAATTTGCTCATAGTTATCATTGTCCTGGGTTGTTTGGGAAAGCACAGTTCTCTCTGTCAACAAGGAGCACATAACAGGTTTTCAGCAGCAGTAGGAATCTGCGTGGGTAGGCCCTCCATTCATCCTGGTGTTGGTGGCTGAACTTCAGTGAAGGCAGTAGAGGTTGTACCTACTTTATCTCAACGCTGAATCAGGTGCATTTTTTTTTCTCTTTCTCTTCTACAGAATAGAAGACCTTTGTAATTACTACAATGCTTATATATAGATGATCATTTGGGGAGATGCCTAAGGCATACGGCAACTTTAAAAGAATGGTTTTCCTGAAGTATTTTGTTGTTACTATGCAAGTGGTGAAAATCTGCCTGCGTAAAAGAGGATAAATTTAATATCAGCTTTAAAAGAAGATTTGCTCAGTAATTTTTAACCATGCTTTAGGTGTCGTTCGAAAAGGATGCCTTAATGCACTTTGCCCACTAACGGGTCCAAAGTAAAACAGTCCCAAGCTCAGCTTCAGATTTTTTAAAATACTGATTCCCCAGGTATCAAGCTGTACTACAGTTTGCCTTGTAATGATGTGGAAAACTTACGAGCAAGACGAGAAATACCTGCATGCCTGTTGTTTTTTTCTTTTTTTTTAATAGAAAATAAATGCCTATCCATGATCCTTTGATTTCCCTTTATATGTCCTGCTAACTGCTGAATTAAATGGACAAAAGTCTGGTAGTACATTGCTGGTATTGTGGGTTTCAGCTGGGGCAGCAAACCATGATTCATAGGTAGGAGCCACTGATCTTTCCAGAGTTGATATAAATAAGGGAAAATGTGTACATGTAGTGAACTGCAGTGTTTATCATAGTGTCTTTAATAATAAAGAGATGTATACTCTCAAAAAGTAAATAAATCCCCAAACATTAAATTTTATAATTGAGTGCAATGTTACCAATACAGTCTGATGATCTGGTCTGGGATGTTTAGAAAGTGGCTGAGATGGCATGAAAATTATTATAATGAGTTTACAGGAGATGATTGATCCAAAGCGGTGATAAAAAGATGCAGGAGGAAAGAAGTTTTAATTGGGATTATTGCCAAGTTTCTGCCTAAAATGAAAGGGTATATTTCCAAAGTACATGTAGCAAGGCTGTGTATCTTCTCTTTTGTCAGAAATATTAAATCTAGAAGCTGATTTCAGTAGTGGATAAACTGAAAACACTGTTCAGTGTTTGGGCATATGACGTTGGCAGAGATTGAGCTGAATGGAATACCATGAATTTGGAAACATCCCCAATGATCTTCCATATCTTCACTCTGAAGTTAGACCACGAGTCTAAAGACAGATCATGAGTTTGGCCAATGGAAAAAGAATGGTCTGTTATCTACAGGCCTTGCTGTATAATTTTTATTTTAACACAGAATATTTAATTTGGAGCTAAGCCACATTTCTCCAGTGGACTATTAATTCAGTCAGTACTCTTTGTGCATATATGTTTATGTATATATGTATACTTATGTATGGGTATACACACACCAGTGTATGCACAAATAATTTGTAATTTGTGTATATGCATATATACATATATACACACACAGACTGACAGTAATTAGGTGTTCTTTTTTTGCTTGTTTCTTGAGCAATTTCATACTCTGTATTACTATGAGGAAACAAGTTTGCTATGAATGGTATTCTTATGGACATTTTTTAATGAACAAAATCTGTTTATTTTACAATACTTGACTCAATGCCTGATTAATCAATAAAAACATCCATTTGAAAATGTAGCTTCTGTGGTCTGTGGCATTTTGCATGGTCCATAGTAATCAATTAAAATTTGGGGAAACAGAAATCCTCATGTAAAAATAAAACATGGTACTTTAACGTAGTGTGCAGTCTTAGATGAGGGGTTCACCCTGATTTTTGAAAGTTTTGTGACTAGGAATGAGGTAGCATTGAATAATGCCATTTTTAACAAAGGCAGATTTTTGAGCAATAGTCTGCTGAGTTGCAAGCAATGAATGTAGTAGAAAAAGCCTGTGTTGGTATAATGATTGTTTCAAAGGTATATTTACAGCTCAAGTTGTGATTCGGCAAAGTTAGAGTAAACTGTAGCACAACCACTTTAGAAGACAGTAACATTGGCTCAGAGTAGTCTATGTTCTTGTCTAGCTTGAGGTAGTGGAATGGTGGGGGACTTCTTTCTCTCTGAGGCCAGATAAGATTTTCCATGTGTTAGGCTCTCATGTGCTAATGCACGTGTAATTGGGAAAAAATAATTCAGAAATGGGCTGTTTGTCATAAATTACGTAGCAGACTGTCTTCAGCCCACTGTAGTTTCCCACTGTTGGCTTTTTGAGAGCAGTAAGAGAGCTGAAGTTGCTGCATTTTCTGCCCTGAGTTTATTCTTTGTTTTGAGTATCCCATTTCTCAACTGCTCAGCAAATAGAGCCCTACCGAGCAGTGGGTCCTAAAGACAGGAAACATAAAAATCCTCCAGATGTAGATACACTGCGAAAAGCTGGAAATCTGCAAGTACAGGTGAAACCACATACACGTCCTTCACTATATTAACAATAATAGATCGCTAAAGAACAGTGTGCATTATCTGTTTTAATCCTGTGACTTAATTGCAAAGACTGTATTTTTTCATGTTAGAAAATGCAACAGGACACTACTGGCAGCACAAATTCAAATGTCAGCTATTTAACCATTTAATTTTGGGATGGCCAGTATTTCTACCACTATGAAGACCTATTGGCTGTGGGAGTTTTCATTAAACAATTAATTGTCATCGAACACAGTATAAGCATTTCTTTCTTAATTGTTCTGATAAAGTAGATGCCAAGTAGTTCCCAGATTCTGCTCCTAGTTACAACAGCACAAATTCCAGATAAGCCCATGCACCAAAACAAAGTGGCTCTTATCTATGTCACCAAAACTGAGGCTATTTGTTTTAGTTGGAAGCATAGTCTTCATTTCTGGTTTAGGAGTGAAGCGTTGGGCTCACACAGAAAGTACACACTGGACTATCTCAGTAACTGGCCAGGGGACTAAAGGGGCAGCTTTTGGAAGCCAGTGGTGAATAAAAAAAGGGTACAGGTTGCTTATGTAGGGATGTACAGGCAATTTCCTTGTTACACGATCTCTAATATCTTTTCACATACTGATCTTTCTAGTAGTGGAAGTGTGTATTCAAATATAGAAATGTAAAATTTTCCTGTGTTATTGGGTTGGTTGTCCATTTAGAAATTAGCTCAGTGTTCTGAACTTCAGCCTTAATTTTTTGTCTTCTCCATATGGAGGAAAGTCCTGGTCACTCCCAAGTGCTGATGTTGGGTGATCTGGATTACAATGAGCTGTTTGTTTTTATTGCGCTTTCTGAAGTGAAAGAAACTCTCTTTACATTTTAGCCTTTGATTTAGCACTTGATTTTCATAGAAAAAAATAAGATATGAAAGAGCAATGATGTTAACAATGCTTCATTTTGAATGACACTCTTGGTTTAGACTGTGAGGCTTAAGGCATCCGTGTACATAAATCTCTGTGCCAGGATAGACTGATTTGTCATTCATGTGGGATTTCAGTAGTACGGATGCAAGTGTTTTATTCTGTGGTAGGCTTTTGCATTAATTCCACTCTTGGAGTAGAATATTTTGTTTCTTTAATTTTTTTAATTGGTTTTCTGATTCAAGTGCAGACCATGTTAGTAAGATTGTAAGTAAAATAATCGTCCATCATGTTACCTATTTTAGCAAACCCTACCATGCCACATAGCTCTGGCAGGTCACTGAAGACATCAGCTGCAACCATAACCTTTGCAACATCATCTCCAATGTGTGGAATGATGCTTAAGCCATAGACCAAGTATATAGCTTTTGCAGGTGGGATTCATCCTGCTCTGAGGAAGGAACTCGAGCACAAGTGGTGATGATATAGGAAAAACATGGGCTTGAATACCATCAGCATTGAGGCGGTTTGTGTTTAGAAGCATGAAAATATATTAGGAAGGCATGAAGTCGTATTCTACAATGTGATCAACAGTGGCATTATCACTGCTGCCTGAGAGAGGGACAGAGGTAGCAAAAAGAGGAGTTCTGGAGCAGTGCTGAGAGAGATCAGAGTGACAGG